GGCTGCAAATTTTATCTGACCTTCCACTGAGCCCAGAAACTTTTTAATGTGAGTGTGGCCATCATTGTCTTGTCCTGGCATGGGACTGATGAAGAAAATTAGGCTCAGAGAGTTAAAATAACTTTCCCAAGGTCGTGCAGCTGGTCTACACAGGGCCGGGGACAGAACCCACACATCTGCACAGCGATGCTTCTGGGGCTACCTGGCCCGTGTCACCTCCCTCGACATTTGTTTCCCTTGTCCATCATACCAAGGCATTGAATGGGCAGAGCAGCTCTGCCATGACTTTCACAGAAACTATTTATTCCCCAGTTGATGATTTTGCTTTACTTCCCTCTGCCATGCATGTTGTCAGAATGTCTAGAAAAATATGACAGCTGGTATTCCATTTAGGGACAACATTTGGGGGATGTGTCTTGAAAGGGCTCACACACAGATCTTGCTGCACTTTTTTCAACTTCCAGATATAGTGTGATTTCATTGGAGATGAAATGGAAAATGAGTAATGATGATGAAGCCCCATTCTGTAAGGAACCTCTGAAACACCTCTACCCAGGTAAAGGAGCCAGGTGACAAATGAAGAGGCCAGGGCGGGGCTTTGTCAGGTAGACCTGGACTCAGATCCTTACTTTGGACAAATCACTCCACCTTGCTGAGCCTCTGTTTCCTTATCTAAACCACAGTGAGGCAGAACTTCTTTCTCAAGCCATGCTGACAGGTCAGTTGACTGTGTTAAAAATGACCAGCATCTGGCAGGCATGCCAGGCAGTTTTCCTCTATCTCTTCCCTCCTGGGCTGTATCAATATGAGTTACTCAGTAAATCAAACTTAATATATAGTATAATTTGTCACAGGAACACATCATAAGGACCTGGTGAAAGGCAAGTTTAACCACAAGACCACTCAGATTCATATATGTCAGCAACTAGAACCAAATACTAAGATACAAGCTTGCCCTTCAGTGTCCCTGAGCTTATGTTCTCCATAAACAAAATGTATGGTGACTACATTGGGTCAAACTGAAGCAAAACATCTTAAAACTCTGTTACGTAGCAAAATGGGCATTGTGGGTAGTCACATCATTTTACACCTAACCCATATTTGGTGGTGCTGACCTCCGTATTATTCCAAATAATTAGAACACAAATATTGACAACTAATGTCTCAGAACATCATTTATCTTAATAAAGGAATTCAAAAAGATCTGAGGGCTCAGAAGTACCTCAGGTCCCACTTGTAACCAAATATTCTCATGGGACTGGGAACCTAGATAGGTTGTGAACTAGTGGGTGACATCAGGGAGCCCCTGAATTCACTGGGCTTAGTTGACCTCAGGCACAAAGCACATGGCACAGTGGCTGGCACCTGATCAAGTGCCTGACTCAGTCTGAATGCTTTCCCATTCCGAAGCCAGGCGGGGGTGAAGCAAAGGTCCACTTCAGAGTCCTTGAACTAGATTCTTCCAGGCTCTTCCCTGCCTTCTCTTGTTGCTCTAAGATGACTTCTTTTGTTGCTCTAAGAAAATGGGTTCTATACGTAACATGAACCCCCAATTCAGGGTTCCCTGAAGAAGTCAGGAAAGCTTTCCTCATGTGCAGCTTGGAATTTAATCCTATTTCTCCTTGTCCTTTCTTTGGGAGAAGAAGAAATATTGCTACTTGCTTATGATCACAGAAACCTACCTACCATAAAGATAAAGGCATATGGGAATGTGTGAGGGGCTGTGTGTGTGTTGTTTGTATGGATCTAGAAATCAAACAAATAAAATAAAATCAAGCCAAAATGAAAACTAAAATGACATAAAAAGCCCTAAATCTCTACTTTATGCTCCTGATTTATTTCTCTCTTCTTCTTCCATTCATGTGGAAGGAATAATTGTATTTCCTGAATTAATGTACAGAATCTGAACACCTTTGTAAAAGTACCAGACTCAAGATTAATAAAAGTGAAAAATCTGGTCACTGTCATAAGATGTTGCTGTTGGTATCTGGAAGTCCTCCTGTCCATTTCTAATTGGTTCTTTACACACAGGTTGCCCATGGCAGCATTTTCAAACCTTTTCCACACTCCAGAATCTCAGCCTTGACTTCCACTTCACTCAGCTCAAAACCGTCTGATGTGGGCTGGTTTAAATTCCATCTCTGCCACAAAACATCTGTTTCATTGCCCATCTCCTCCTTCCTTGCTCAGAGACACATGTGCCCTTTGCCTTATCAAAGCAAAGACCTTCTGCACCTTTAGGTTTTTATTTCTCACTGATTCCTTTCTTTGACATGAAGGAAAGCATGTCAAAGCATTTCCAATCCACATGGATCACCCAGATTTATAGGTGAGCTAATCAGCACGGGTACGTACTTGTTGCAGCGAAGCTCTAAGTAGAGCAAGAGGAAGCACTTCCTCGGTGGGAGCAGCCGGAGAGGAGGCAGCTTGAGTGGGGGTCTAGGGGAAATGTCCTGCTTGGGGTGGTGGAAGTTCAGGGAGGGGATTTCGAGATGTCAGGCAAATCATGGTTGAAGTGGCTGGACGGGCATGTGGCCCTGGCCAGGGGCAAGAGCAGACAGCAAGGAGTTGACAGCTGAGGTGACAGGATGGGTCCAAAGGGCTCAGGACTGAGAGCAGAGTGAGGAAATGGAGGAGGTGTAAGCAATGCAATTGTGCAATCTTACATCAGTGGAGAAAGTGAGAGGCTCAAATTGCTAACAGGTCTCTGTGGGCATGGGGTGTGAGAGACAAACAGAAGAGTGGGGCCAAGGTCAGTCTTAAATGAACTCAAGGTTAGTCTCAAATGGACTCTCTCAGTCCTAGGGCACCAGGGGTGAACATGGTGCCTATGCATCATCTCATCCTAGACGACACCTTTGCCCAAAATACAATCAGAGAGGCCCTTTCCTGAACACAGTCAGGGCTGTGCATTAAATATACTCATCAGTGACTGATTGTATCAGAGATTAGAAAACTTAAACCTAAACACAAATGAATAAGCTTGGGTTTGAGGCCAACCAGCACTGACATAATGTTTAAAAAATAAAAAACCCACCTCTGACATGGAAAAATTCAAATGGGATTATATAACCAATATTGTGCAGGTCATTCAAAAAATGAATGTGTTCAATATAAAATAATGTTCCTTCTGTTAAATAAGACCATGAATTTTAATACATTTAATACAGTGACTGGCACTTATGCACGATCCCTTGAACTGTAGAGTTAGCAATGCTGTATGTATGAATCATTAAAGCAGATTCAGGAGGATTTCTACTTGGAAATCCCTTTGTCAGTCATTCATCTTGTTAATGTATGAGCTTTTGAGCAATAAAAGACATACCTTAGAGTTCAAATTACTTCCCAGCCCATCTGACCTTTCCAAAAATTACTACGGCTCGTAACATTTCTCTGAATAAAACACTGATTCACGAACAAAGACTCATGGAAAATGAGATTCCCAGAAATACTCTTCCTACCACAGTACTCACTGAAGGCGGGGGGGCTAGAGCCCCAGGGCTTCCACTGTTTGTGCATATGGTCTGTCACCTAGGAATGGGGCCAGGCCTGCTGTTTTCCCAAGTTTTAGTGGATCTCTCTCTCCCTACCCCCTGCCTGTCCTGCTGAAAGTGGCATTGTCTGTGGCCATCCTGCTTGTGGGTGGTCTGTGTGGCTCCAACTCCAAACACAGTCACTGATACCACAGCCCAGGTGTCCCAGGCAAGAAGACCAACGCAGCTTCTGGGCGCCAACTGGGATTTGCCTGCTGTACATGGCATTTTTGAAAATTTTAAATTTGAACATCTTTAGAAGGGGGCATTGCTCTTAAGTTTACCAGAGTCCCCACCACTCCATGCTCACTTCCTTGGCTTGAATTAATTTAGTCTGTTACCTTGTAGTACAAGCCAAGCCATCTCCTGCTTCCTGTTTAATGCATGGCCTTCAATCCTGTGCACTGAGGCAGCCATGCAGGCCAGGCAGGGCCAGTGGGAGCCCAGGACTGAGGGAGCTGCCGAGGCCACCTGCACTAGCTCAGCCCTCACAGCCTCCCTGCTACGGGGCTTAGCCAGCTCTAGCGTGCCAGCCCCAGACAAGGAGACCAAATGCCCTCCTGGTGTCCACGGGATAGTCTACCAACCATGTTTATTGACTTGTTTAAATGTTCTAGAAAATAATAGTGTGACCTCTTTAAGAAATCTCAGTATTGAACAAGTTAAAAATTGCTGGTAGCCTGCTTGTCGTTTTAATGTAATTAATTTTTTTTTCTATACATCAGAGCTGTTAAAGCAGTTCTGATTTTCAAAGTTGGAGAGAGGGATTTAATCATTTAGCTTCCCTGGAACTCTCCACTGCCTAAGGGGATAAGGTAGGCTGTTGGATTTTTTTTTCTTTCTTGAACCCAAGAAAAATGGTTTCCCATGGGTGTGCTTTGGGCCCCAGAAGCACTCATTCCTTCTGTAACTACTTGGTTAAGCTCGTGGCAGTCCTTTAATGAGCAGGGCTCTTTCTGGCCAGTGCACTCAGGGAGCATAGCATAGAGGCAATCCGTTCCTGAGGATCCTGTGAAGGAGGTGTAATGACCCTGGTGTGTATAGAGAAGGAAACCCACTCAGAGAAGGCACATCCTTTGCCCAAGGTTGTACAATTAGCCACTGGACTTGATCCAAGTTTGCCCTGGACTTGTACAATTAGCCACTGGACTTGATCCACAGCCCAAGAAGGCTTTCTGCACCACCCCTTGCAGCACCCACTGGTGACACACACCACGGGGCCACACACCTAATCACAGATGTCAAAAAATCACTGGAGGAAGGACAGGGTCATAGAGGTCCTACAAAAATGCTAAGTTTGAGAAAAAAAACCCTCAACCTACTGCATCTTTGCAAAAAGGATCTTTTAGCCTCAGTCCTGGATCCTTGACATCAGTACAAGGCCACCTCAGCACAGGAGTCTGTAAACACATTTTTCATGCAGAGGGTGAGCTCAGCCCAAGAAAAGAGCAGAAGCAGGTTGCCTACCTCCTTCAAACTCTGTTTGGCAATTCTCCGAGGTCTCCTGCAGGCTCTCCTCCTCATTGATGATGATGTTCTCAATGTCCTTCATTGTTAAGTGGTCCCGGAAGGCGTGGTAGAGGATATGCTTCAGCTCTTCCAGAGTTATCCTTTGCATGTCAAACTGTGGAGATAAAGTGGAGCGAGGATTTAGGCACATGGGGGGTGAGAACTCCACTTGGGGCCTGACCAGCAACCCCTAAGCCCTAAGCTCCTCTGTGGAAACTTCTCCAAGCTTCTCGGGATATCAGATGAGCAGTTTTCTGTCATGTTCAGCTCCAGGCATACTTTGGAACTTGCAGAGCCTTATTGGGAATACAGTGAATGCAACATAACCCCCTCAATTGAGACTCTTGGAGAAAAGAAATGCCACCTGCTAGTTGGATTTCCTTCTCGCCCAGCCATCTGCTGTCACCCCTCCACACCTCACCTACTTTGGAGTTGTCTCACAATTCAGACCACGTGTATGTCTCTAAAAATTCTACAACCTCCTCAGAAGCCAGCAATCCGCATCTTGCTTTCAATTTGTATATTGTTCTAACAGGATAAAACATATGGTCAAAGTCGGGTTTAGGAGGAAGAGAAGCTGAAGGGGAGGTGTAGCATTCCCAGCTATTCTTCCCATCCTAGGGAGAGGATAATACTTTCCCACCCCATTTCTATCAGGTTTGCTCATCTCACTTTCTTGGCTAATGAAATGTGAGTGGAAGTCACCTAGGCCTCATACCGCTGAAGCTTACAAGCCATTGTGTGGCTCTGTCACTTGGTCTTTTCCCTCTGTCATTAGCCTGCATCCCCGACCAAGGGGCTGCTCCTTATGCCTGGGTCCCAGTATGCGGATATAGTGGGGAAACTGCAGATAGTCAAGAAAGACAAAATAATGTATGAAATGCCTTTGATTGTTAGCCATAAAGATTGTGGGCTTGTTTTCTACCATGGCATAATTTGGTTTAAGTCAACAATACAGGAATTAGCACACAGACGGGAGAGGCGTCCATAACCAATATCCTGAAACATGATGTGTGGGTTCCAGGGCCAGGCAGTGAGAAGTGAGAGGAAACTGTTCCTGGAGGCTGGAAGGATGTTATGCAACAGCAAAACATTTGGTGAAATAATTGCCAATGATAACTTGGAGGACAGAGACATTTTCCATGAGTTTGTGGCTTTAGGTAAAATTTTGGAAAATGGCATGTTCTCGTTGCAACTGTGCATCGGCCATGATGTTACAAGAAAGAAATGAGCTCAGAGTGAAATCAGTTAGAAGGAGAGAGACAAACGATGCATGAGCTCAAGTGGATTATGAATCTGAAAACAAAGAAAAAACAAAAACACCCAAACTCATAGATACAGAGAACATACTGGGGGTTGCCAGAAGCAGGGAGTGGGAAGTGGTTGAAATGGGTGAAAGGGATAAAGAGATACAAATGTCGAGTTAATAAATACATAAATCCAGTTAATAAATAATACAAAACACATAAGAATAACACACAGTATGGTGACTAGTTAGCAATACTGTACTGTGTATTTGCAAGTTGCTAGGAGAGTAGATACTAAACGTGCTCATCACAAGAAAAAAATGTGTAATTATTTGTCATGGTGGATGGTAACTGGATTTATTGTGGTGATCATTTCAGAATATATACAAATATTGAATCAATATCCTCTACACATGAAACTCATATAAGGTTAAATGTTAATTATACCTTAATTAACAAATAAAGAGATGAACTCAGGAAAGAATTGGCTGGTTAGGAAGCTGGGATAGACAACCCAGAAACTCCTGGTCTTGGCAGGGTTGAAAGAAGCCATTGTTTCTCATTTCTGACTAGGAAGAGATGAAATTAAGAAATGCTGTGAATAATAATACAGGCCTCTTAAAACAAATCAAAGTGTTCCTTTGACTATGTTAAGTAACTCACCCAGGAAGCTGACTATTAAGTCTAGTGAGAGGTATGTCTCAAAAACAATTGTGAGTGTGCTATTAGCAGAAACCAATTGAAATAAAATAGATTTAAAAAAATAAGTTTTTGAGAGAGCTACCCCAGGCAAGAGCCAACAGCTTGGGATTCAAAGACACTCTACGACTGGTCAGAACTGAAAATGACCTCTGGGCTCCCCAAACTTCTACTGGCAGAAGCCGTTGTGAAGATAAACCGCGCAGCCCAAGAAGGCTTACCTTCCTATACCCTCATCAGTGAGCACTGGAAAAGGGCGGGAGAGGACAGCTCCGCCTGCTGGTGAGGGCGGGAACCACACTTGAAATCAAGAGTAATCTGCCGGAAGCAGAACTAGGGTCTGATCAAGGACGATTCCTCTCCACAAGGTCTGTTCAACGGGATTTCAGAATTGCTCTGAGCCTTTAACCGCGATGTGTCTTCCACCTTTTCACTTTCTGGTTTTGGTGATTAACCTGACCCTGTTCCATCACTATCTGTGAGTGTGTGTATGTGTGTGTGTGTGTGTGAGCTTACGGGTGTAATTTGTCTTTTTAAAAAGTTCCTGTTTCCAGATCAAGATGAACCACACCCAGATTGGATGTATGTCGTGAAATTCCTGATCTTGAGTCTCATGCTGTAATTGGGTGGGACTTTGGGTGTTTCCCTTGGGGAGGGGATGAGCATGTTTTGTGGCCGAGGACAGGGAAATAAATACTTCAGAGCAAGAGTGTGTACTCTAACAGGTTATGTGATTTCCAGTTACTTCCTTCTCCTCCCTGTAAAAGCATTGTATCTCCATACGCACTGACATCTCGCTTTGGCCAATTAAGGGAGAGTAAAAGTGACGAATGTCCAAGGAGGCCCAGAGCCACACCCTGGTCTGCATTTGTCTTTTCCTTCTTGCCACAAAAACACTTAATACCAAATAGGGCTGCTCCTGCATCCTGAGTCCTGGAATGAATACAAGGGGGAGCTAACCCACGAAGGGCATGAAATCTGAGTGAGAAATAAGCCCTTGATATTAGCCACTAAAACTCGGGATTTCTGCAGTATAATTTAGCCAAGAATGAATACAGAGATCAATGTTTTAAGATAGTCCAGATCATGGTGAAAGAAAGCATTAGACATTTTTCTTCCCTTGCTTCT